AGGAAAGGAGTTGATAAAAAAATAAAACCGAGGAAGGGAGTTACAAACATTCCAGAGATAATAACTACGAAAGATATAGATCAGAATATAGATCCAGAGAAGAAAAATGTATTGCTTAATCAGACTTTTGAAAATATGAAATTAATGAGTAGTCCTGCGATAGAAACAGCTCATATCAAATCTGAAACTTCCAATGTTAGCCTCCCGAAATTAAATACCACTAATCCACGCTCTTATGATAACTTAAATCATCGTATAAACTCCAATTACTCTAATATAAGTTTACCAGCAAATGGAACTGCAGCTCATCTAGACATAAATAATACAACAAAAACATCTTTACATGTTGAAAAGCATATACCGAAGCCTAAACCAACGGTAACGACTGTTGATGGGCCAGAAATTAATGAATCTATACCACTCCTACGAACAAAAAATCCTCCATTAGGCATGCCAAGAAAAATCGACTATATTGTGCCAGTCATTATAACAATTGTCGCTTTACCGATATTGGGTGCTGCGATTTTCGTATTATATAGGCGCGGTCGAGATTGCTGGGATAAGAGGCACTATCGAAGGATGGATTTTTTGATCGACGGAATGTACAATGACTAATACTCGTATGAGAAGAAGTTTGTTCCATGAGATTAAATACACATTATGCAAGAAGTAATCAATTTCCACATTCTTCCATTTGCAAATGCAAATTTTGTATTCTTTCAAATAGCTAATTAATGTACTCCGCATTGATTTCTTCTTACATAACGATATAAATGTCCAAACGACAACGATACCTATCATTAGAATATATCAAAGATTTTGACACTTTTATAAACGTATTGACCGATATATTATGCTAATCGTAATATCATAATATCTAAGCTCACTACATATTGATATCTAAATTTGCTATACAATTTTTTTATTATACTATTGCCTTAATATTATAGACATGTTATAAGATGTTTAAGATATTATATTGAAAAAGAAATATTGTTGATGATATTGTAACAACGTTTTTATAAATACTTCATTGCAGCTTCTAAATTTAACATAATTTTCTAAAGTATTTTTTAAATATACATATGTTTATTATATGTATATATATATATATATATACTTGTTTTTGTTAATGTGTGAACAAATTTTTGTATAAATGTTGTATATCTTTCCACGACGATCTTTCCTTTCTTTTGTATATGAATGTACATGTCGCATTTGATGCCATCTCTTGTATTAGAGAATATAAAAAAGATTTAGAGGGTCCAGTTGCCAATCTGACAATAATAATGAAATTCATATAAACCCAAAACGATTTAATTGAATTGTATTGTGCTTTGGAAGTGCTCTCTAAACGAATAATATTGTGTATGATCTTTTTGCAAAAATTGTAATTTATAATAGATAAAGAATAATTAGACCTATGAAATGCGATATTGTACACAAATTTTACCAAAGAGCTACTCGATTTATACACTGTAAGTTTGTTAATTGCATTTTTTTGTTTATATCTGTAAGATTGTTTTTTTGCGGGATAATTTACAAAATGTTTAATCCATTTATAAATTCATCTAGAATATTTTATATACAATAATTGCCATACACGCGCAGGATATCATTGAAATATCATCTCGCTATGTAAATATGGTAACCAATAATTTGTAAAAAATTATTCAATTTGTAAGACTTTTTGAGATTGCAATTTTTAAAAGCAAATTGCGTTTTAAGTCTTCGAAAGTCTATATTTTATTAAATACACGCGAGAAAAAAAGCAATAATAATTATTATTTTTGTACTATATCTATGTAAAAGAAAAATATTCATATTGTTATAAAAAAATATATATATATTTGCAAATCGCACGTTTTACATCATTTTGTGCACCTATTAAAATGATGTACATCATCTCGTAAAGATTTTATATTGAGAAATAAAGAAAGCGAGAAAAAGAAAAAAATGACGTTTGTAAAGATTTTATTAATAAGCTTATCATATAGGTATATAAATTCAGTAACGATAATAATACATGTTAATTATGAGCCTTATGGCTTTTGACTACAGACTTTTATTATATGCATTAGATCGCTAACTTGCCTAGTTGTTTCAAATGTCTCAAATATATAGCTCTCAAAAGTATGTATGTACATACTGAATAATTGAATCATGCGCATATGCGATATTAAAAGGATATTGGAGGATACTGGTATATATATATATATATATATATATATATATTAATTACATACATAGATCTAACATATATACTTATATCGGCCAATAACAGTGCATCGGCATTATCACATAATCTTTTACGTCATTCATTTACAAAGTTTCTCAAAAGTATGTAAATCGTGTAATAATTTTTGTAAAAACGAAGATATTGGAAAATAGTGAAATTCGTGTTCCATTATTTAAAAAATACTATCTTTGCGCTAGTGGCAAATGACACGTCCTCTCTGTTCATCGTGTCGATGAAAAATTATGTCCAGGTTTAGTCAACGAGAACAAATCTTAAAATTTTTTCGAGTTGGTCGGGATTATTTGATGATGATCAAAACGATGATAATTGCTATGAACGACTTCATTCAAAACGGCGGCCATACAAAGATGGAAATTTCTTGTACTTGGCATTAATCAGGATCACCATCCCACCCTCGCATCTGGGAGGATGGTTTTTCGATATCTTCGTTTTATAAAAATTATAGATTATTTTCACATTTTTGGGAAACCCTGTACAATACCAGATGCGGTAAATAATGGAATTAGTGTCATTAACGGCCTAGTGTATATTATAAAAGTCTATGCTCCTAACTAGTCACCGTGGTCAAATTAAACCATGTTATAAGCGAGAAATTCTTGCATGGCATTTATAAATAAAGGAAATTTAAATAAAATGAAATAATGAGGTCGCTTTAAGATACTTGTAAAAATGTTCGCGACCCATTTTTGTATACGCTCTTTTTGACAATCAATAAATAGTAAAAAGCAATGAAATGTAATAGATTTTACATGTAATAGATTTTTAAAATACATATAATAGATTTTAAGCTTACTTTTATTTAACATGCCTTTTATGATTATTACTGACTCAAGGTGGTAAAAATCAAGGTGGTAAAAATGGGTGTAAAAATAGAGTATTTTTACAAGTATTTTAAAGCAATTTCATCATTTTGTTTTATATAAATTCTCTTTAATTACAAATGATGTACAAAAAGCTCAATGTTTCATTTCTCGCTTATAGCGTCATAATTCAATATGGCCACGACAATTAGTCAGAAACCTTGAACTTGAAGCCTGAAACACAATATTGAAAAACACAGACAGGAACACGAAATAACAAATTTCAACCTATCAGAAACCGTGTATATCAGAATACACGGTTTGATAGAATGTCTCATATATTCTGTTCCTATTGCTGATCAATTGTGCGTCAGACTTTAAACTCGATGAGTAATCACAATGCAGAAAGAGAACTTTATCTGTTTTACATATGTATGTGTATGCTTTACACATCTGCGTACTCAAACATTAATCTTCAATGATCTAAGGTAATTTTCAAATAATAACTTTATATAAATATTTTTTTCTTTGAATCTTTTTAAGTTCTTCAAGAACATTGCGATAAAATTTTGTCAAATATGATTCAAAATTTTAACGAAAATTATAGTTAGTAAAATAAGACAAATTAGGATATATGATTCTGTTTTTGATTTAGTTTCTATAAATAGAGTTCTTTTTCGCAAAATACAGAATGTCGTGAAAACATTTGATGACAAAGATTCATTGTTATTCAGATAAAATTATTGGTGTTATACATATGTGTACGTTTATCTCTATCTATATAATCAATATCTCTATTTCTATATAATCTATATAATCAATATATTCAACATACTTTTCTCTCAATGTAAAGAGAAATCCAAATCTCTAACGTTGATTTCTAATATTCTAGTAAGTTATATTTATTTTAAAGAAGTACAATTATTTAGATTTCATTTGAGATTAAATCTAAATCAAGCTAATGCCTGCGCTCAGTCTATAGAACTAAATATAAAAATAGTTATTTTCATCATAAATGTTATTTGTTCTGAAGCTTTCATTACAATGCAGTATACTAAAGTACTACAAAAATTTAAAATATCAATTAGAATGAAAATTTAAAAAACAGAAGTTTTACAATAATAATACATTTAATTTTTATTTTTATTTTATCTTGTTCATCATTATAAAAAATATAAATTTTATAATTCGATTGTATCGAAGAAGCTTCAGAAAAATATAAAATATATTACACTATTAAATTTAATGTAAGAACTTGTGCATAAATATATAGCTTAAATACACAATACATATTTTTAACAATATAATTTCTACAAATATTATAGAAAAGTACGAATGGCGCCAAGGTCGAACTGAAAGAAAAATTCAAGAAATAATTATCAGAAAATCTCATATTTAGCATATATAATTTTAAGAAAATGGTGAATTTATAGTATAATTTTGTATTGTATACATACTAAAGTATTGGGTTGATTCAAAAATAAATTCTATTTTCTTTTATCAGATTTTTTTAATATGACAAGGCTGTATTTCTGTTTTTTCGTGGTTTATTATATAATGTGGATTTTGTTGCATAATAATTTGAAAATATTATTGAAATCGGAATGGTTTGTCTATAGTTTTTGAAGTTTCTCTTTAGAGAAAAACCTCAAACAAACCACTTTTGTTCTGCTTGATCCATTATGACACTTTCATATATAATTAAAATTTTTTTTTATCATTACAACAGCATTTTTCTTGTTTAAATTTTCAAGGCATTATGTGATATACATATATACACTTTCAAATCTTCTATTTTAAGATTTTATTTTCGCAATTTTATAAGACGATATGCATAGTTATAAATACATTAATATATATACACAAATATAAATATATATCTATTGATTTACAATTGAAGAAATTATTAGAGATGGAATTAGAATTTGAGATTTTCAGAAAAAATAAATTATTACATGCAACGAAACTTATTTATGAATCAATCTAATATATGTATACTCAGAGAGCACTCATGTTAAAAATCGAAGACGTCTTGAAGATCATTAAGACATCATTTCTTATATATCTTAAAGATCATTAAGACATCATTTTCTTAGATATCTTTAATATTTTAATGACATATTACGACATTCTACGTCACAGTTTTGAACATGCGTTTGTTATCTAGATAAATCTGAAAATTGAAAGCTTTACTAAAGAGCTTTCTAAAAACAAATAATTTAATATAAACGAACATTTAGCTAATAGAAAATCTATTTTGTTGCTCCCAAAATCAAGTAAAATCGAATCAATTTTGATTTTATTAATAATTTTATTATCTTATTAATAGTTTTAAAGTATAAATTCAATTTTCATGCCTTAAACCTCCGGAAACTTTTTACTATTTTTTTCTATTCAGTCCAACCTTGAATGGCATTTGTATGTACACAATCATTACTAGAGCAATCATCACTAGATCAATGAGCGAATAGCTGAGTTTCTTTCACGAGAATTCTCTAACCAGTAAGTTAAAATATTGCGCTACATGATACATTGAATTAGTTTCCAAAAAGATATAAAATTTCAGACTTTGACACAGAAATAAATAAAGCGTTAAGAAAAATTGATTCGAAAAAGATATCTCTCTAATACCAATATTTGTCTAATATTAAGGAGATCTTTTCTTCATAAAATATTCTTCATAGGAATATGAATAAAAGTAAACTGTGTTTGAATGAATTCTCGAAAATAGATATTTGAGACTGACTATAAAAGGATCGATCGAAAACGCATTTCTTTAAATTAATTCAATTTTTTTTTAGAAAGCTTATCAATATCAGCCAGATAAAATTGATTATATTTATTATTTATCTATTGTTTTCGACTCGGTCATTGCTGCATTCAACGCGAATAGATTTTTTCTTCGGAGATTAGAGAACTTTCATATAGAATTATCGAAGGGTCCCTTTACTTTGACTTGTACTTTGCCTCATCTGGGAAAGCTTCCCTGGGCGGTATAAGACTAAGCATCATTATGTGTCGTGTGTAATTCCGCGAATTGCGGAATTGTGTATCGGTACCGTGGATGCGGTCTAAAACGCCAAGCACACCATAGCATTGGTTAAACCTAAAAATATTCATTAGTCATTAGCATTCATGTAGCAATTATAAACTGATTGTATAATCAAATAATTAATAAATCTTGATTTTTTTTTTAAATGTGAAATTCAGTATAAAGATCATATTCTACTACGTTACTAAAATCTGTTTTAAGCATTCATTATAATAGAATAAATAAAGCGAAATCATTTTAATGCGATTTAAAATTAAAAAGATTTTAACAAGGTTTGCATTACTTCAAATGATGGAAATCATGTGCCTCCGGCGATGGGAAAAACGGTAAATGATATCCGGAATGTGCATTCAACGTCGAAAGAATCGCAAGTGAGAACCAAATCCAAGCGGTGGCTACATGGGAGCCCATGATGAATACACCCAAGAAGGGTGGAAGTAGATTCGATCCAATATTTTCCAAGGGATGACAATACAAAGCAGTCACAGCTATGGGAGCAGTCCATTCATGATGCTGTTTATGTATGTATTTGTATAGGGAACGCTTATGAAGAAATCTGTAAAAAGTGTTTATCATTAGTGATCATTGGTTTAGTTATTTGATATGTTTGTGTATTTAACAATATCTGGATGTAAAAGATTAATAAAAGATGGATAATTATATTTAGCAGAAAATTTATATCTGGACAATAATAATATTTAGTAGGAGATATACCAAGAGTATTACAAATGTGTTTGCATATTATGTTATTAGCAGATCTCAGCATATTATGTTATTAGCAGATAACAACCGAGTATAGTCAGCTTTAATTAATATTAATAGAAAATAAGCAAGTTTTGCATCAATGTGGAACAAATGTAGCTAAAATTTGACAGAAGTTGCCGACATAAAAAAAATAATAAATTTAACATTACGTGTTATCACAATATATATCCGCAGAAAATAAACCGAAATTAAAACTAATATAACATCAAGACATATTAGCAAAATGTTAGAAATCGCGAGATTAGCATATAAATGTACCGTCTGAATTTTATCTTCGGAGATTTTCAATATCCGTTTTTTGAATTTCTTTTACAAAAAACGTAATCATTTTTTTAGATTCATAAATCAAAATAGACGTTAGTCACAGAATTTAAATATAAAATATAAAATATATGTATATAAACTTATGTGTGTGTTCTTCATCAACTTAACACACACTGGTAACGTTACTCAATTTTGTTATTTACATATATATTAATTTTTCTCTTTTTAATTAACTCAAGTAATATAAGATTTATAAAAGTAATATAATATTTATTTCTGATGTAATCTTGATCTAACATTTCCATACTTGAGTCTATCAAGTATGACATTTTTTTTTCTGCCGACTCATCAGATATCAGTTTTCAGCCTAATCAACAAAATTGACAACTTCAAATGTAAAATTTGTCATTATGTATAAGTTTCTGGATTAGTTATATTTAAGCAGGACGTACCTGTGCGAGTAATAAAAGCCAATCTCCTCGCATAGTATATGAATCGCGATCTCGGCGAGCACCCAGTGGAACGTTGGTAGCTCGCGCACCGGGGGGTAACCGCGCCATTCCATGAAGTAATAGCCGAGATACATAATAGGTAAGCCGACGACGATCTGATTGAACAGTACTTGAGCGATCACTTTGCATAACTCCCTTTTGTCCACTGGCTCGTTTGTACCGGGCTGTATTTTGTATCTGCGCAGCACCGCTGGCCGGTTGGTGATATCTAGGATAATGTAAATTCCACCGACGATCCAGTAAACCGCGATCGTTAATATTAAGGATCCTGCAATATAATAATACATTCTTTATATCCAATATCAAGATATTCATAAGAGTTCAATTGTTCTAAAAAATTTTAAATTCATAAAAATCCTCCAATTATTATTTACAATATTTCAAAAAAATATTAAATTTAAATTAGTTAAAGAATTGATCAAAATCTGGAGACACATTCAGTAATGTCTTGGCGCAGCGATTAACAATACGGAAATCTTTACGTATTCTTTACGTTAGTCATTTATCTATACTTTTATATTAAAACGTAAGGAATTATTAAGGAGTTATTCTAATATATCTCTTTGAATTTACAAAGATTATCTAAAGTGTATCTTGAATTTACCGTAAACCCATAGCGTAACAGGATCATCTCCAAATTTATCCAAAATTTTGTCCCATTGAGCTTGCCAGAAGTCTCCGGATGCACCCCAGAATCTTTGTAAATGCCTGAAATTTTTTTTTCGTTAGTAAAATCTAAAAAAAATTAATAAATTTCTGAATAAAAACTAAGATAATTTATTTAGTTTTACAGATATAAACAATTTTTTCACGCAATATTGAATTTATTTATTTTTTTTGGATGAACTATATATATATATAAACATACGGAAGTAAAAAATTTAATTTGTTTAATTATTTTCTAATATGTTTTATATCAGATTTAAAAAAATTATAAAAAAATTAATATCGCAAAGATCGGAAAGGTTAAGAAATTATTTGTCTTCTTTCTTATTGATCTATGATTAAGATCTGATTATTTTTCTCATATAGTATTAAAAAAATTAGGTACTCAAATTAATTCAGTGTCTCTTGAAAAATTGAAAATTTATTTATAAAAAAAATAGAGTAATCTCAATTATCAAAATAATTGCTATTATTAACCCAGCTAACGCTAAATCTTTCTAAAATATTCATAAAAGATTCCTAAAATCTCCAAAAAAACATTCCGGAATATTCCGAAATATTTACGGAATGCAACATTCAAAATTCAAATATCAATTAAAAATTCCATTTATATATCGTTATATATGCCGAGAATGTTCTATATATGTTCCACAAAATTTTAATTTTTCCAGAAATTTCAAGTCCGGTTCTCCCTAAATTAATTTTTAAACAAAACTTTTTGAGCTTGCTCGCGAGTGATTTTCATGATATATGTACAGGGTTGGCCATATTCGACGGAAAGATGTTTTTTTTTTCAATCATGGGAAACGTCGTTACTCGATCTAACATCTCTGTCAAAAGTTACAGTGTTGCCCAGATCTTTCCGTCGAATATGGCCAACCCTGTACAAGGAGTATTCATACAATATTCTGAACACTTCATCGACATTTGTATATTCTGTGATGATTCTTTCACTGTGTCAGAATATTCGGCACATTGGGAATACCAATCGAACTTTCTAAATATTTAGTGGGTTCCGAATTCTATCATGACAAAAACTTAGCAGTTTCGATATGATATCTAAACTAAATTTTCGTGAAGTGTATATCGATACTATATCCTGATTCTGTAACTCTTACAATGTTCTGTAACTCTTGATAACACCGATATTGTTCCCATACAGTACACTTTATTTAAGAGACATTCTGGAAATATCCTTAGATCTTTAGAGTGTCTTTTGGAGATCTGTGTTGTATGTTATTCCACAGATATTATACATAAAAAAGTTGCTCAACAACAAATGTACTGAACTGTCATGAAAAATTACCAAATCGGGGTACAGATATTGTAGCGATTAAAACAAATGATAATTCTAAACAGAATATATCTGTAAATAAGCCACATGAAAAAAAATTAACACTCTTAAGGAGAACATGACATCCTTAATTACTTTGTGAGTGTTATCGAGGATCATTTTGTTGTTTCCTTGAGATATGTAAAAAATTTTTTTTTGCTTCAACATTATTCAAATTGATGATACATTATTGACAGAGATTGGCAGAGATCTACTGTGATCATTTCACTTATTTAGCAGTTCATAGAATATGCTTTATTGCCATGCCTTCAAACACGCAGCAATATTCCTTAGCGTGGATTGATTTTTGATTCAAGAACAAACAGTGATCATAAGATCAAAAAACGAAAAAATGGCTTGAAAATTATTATTAAAAGTTATTTTTTGATGACTCACAATTCATTTTAACGTTATTTTAACATTGCGACCTATTATTCTATTGTTAAGTATTATTCAACTGTCGTCAGTTGGCCGAGTCCACCGAAGTTTTTCTATGCTTAGAATTGTCATATAAAATCCATATTTCAATATCCATTATATAAAAAATCCATCTGTCCTTTTCTGAATAAATAAAATTATGGCTCTATATGGTTATTTGTTAATTATCTTCATCTTTAGCATATGGAATCCTTTCTAAATTTTTCCCAGTTGTTGCAGTCAAATGGATATCTAACGAGTGACTCTAAATTGCAAGAGATCTTCTTGTGTCTGTACAGAGTTCTCATCCAATTGCTGTAATTTTCCATTATCAAATTTTCAAAGTTGGACATGACATTTTTGATTATTAAGATCCCATTATAAAATCTGCTATTTTTTGCAAATGTTGCATAAATATTGCAGCTTTATTAAGAGCAGCAAATAATTTTAACGATATTTTTTTAGTTAAAATACAATATCTTAAATACATTTTATCGATCGCCTTTCAATTCATTGTTGTTTTTTGAAAATATATTGTTGGCTCCACCTTGTAAAAAAATATTTGTGAATGTTATTAATAGCATTTTAAATCCATAAAAAACATACTAAAATTTTCAAATTTAAAATAGTATATAAAATAGATATAAAATTCAAGACACTGAATAAATTTACATACCTAATAATCATACTTTTATTTTTTGTTCTATATATATGTGGTTAGATAGATAAGTAACAGAAGAGCAATGTAAAAAAAGAAATCCAGAAACACTATAAGTAAAATAAAATTGCATAAAAAGTTAATAATATAATGTTAATATAGAGTTGATAGTATAATAAATTATATTGGATTCATACTTAAATTTTTTGAGTTAAGCATTTTTTCATTTTTATAATACCTTTCGGTAAAACTTTCTCTAACACAGTCAACCTCAAATTAACCTTGGCCTTGATCTTGATCCTTAAGGAGATCCAGATCACTAATCTTTTCTGTTGATCGTTATTCATTAAAAAGTTATGAACAAACCATTTTTTAAAAATAGTAAGTAATAGTAATTTTTGAATACAAAGTACATGTCAGTAGTATTTTCTCTTGACAGAAGAAGGTGGAGATAGACCTTGCTTCGCATGGAAAGTCGTGCGCCCCTGAAGCAGGTGGGGTGAAAGTCGCTTCGCGTGGAAAATTGTGTATTTCTTAACAGGATCGCATAAAAATTGTTTTGTTCACTTTTTAATGAATAACAAGCGACAGAAAAGGTCAGTAACCTCCTTAAGAGTCAAAGTCAAGGTCAAAGTCGAGGTCAAAGTTGGAGATTATTTGGAGCTGACTGTGTAAAACGAAAGTTTTACCTACCTTTCATTTTATTAAAGTTTATAGAAATTTAACCAATCGAGAATAGAAAAAGAGCTAAGAGAAAGATTTAATTGTAACTCTGTTTATGCGAACCATAAAGTAAAGCAGAAATAACGTATTGCATTACCATGTCAGAGAATTGCAAAAAGCGGCGAATCCGACTACCACAGTTCCAATAACGAAAAGTACACTCCTTAAACTTGAAAGAAGCGTTGGTGGAGTTTGATTCTTCGAGGCATCGCCAATAGCGGGGGTTGCTGCAAATAATGATAAACCAATCATTGAAAGCCCAATTATCTTAAATAAAATGTAAAAGAGCGAAATATATGTATAATTTATCAGTAATAATGTAGGATTTGCAAGCTATATCTTTGTCTATGATTTGTAATATAAAAGTTATCAATTGCTAAAACAAATTTGCTAAAACAAAATAATCTGTTCCGAGCAAATACCTTTTGTTTTTTTAGTAACTGCTATTTTAAAAAAGAATTCAATAAAATTATTTTTAACAAATAAAGTTAGTATTTAAATATATATACCATTTATACAGAATAATTATTTATTTATTATTAATATGAAATTTATTATTAATATAAATATTAATGAGAAAGGACTCATTGTCTTTATTCTTTGCAAAAAAATGTTTGTTAAACATAAGTATTTGGAGTAATAAATTATTAAATGTTACAACGCGTACTCGTAAAGTTGGAAAGCAATAACAAATCACAAAAATATAAAGGTCAAAAAATTTAAACGAGTTAGCAATATGATAACCATTAAATTTATTCTTTGTATTCTTTCTAAAATATATGCATGTAAACATTTCGAACTTTACTTACTTAGTCCTCCTCAGCAACGCAAAGAATTAATTACATTTTAAATCTAATACATAATACATAGAATGAATATGATTATTTAAGAATCTCACAGATCTATAAATATCTTGCTAGCTCGTTTAAATTCGTTGACCTTTATATTTTTGTGATAAGTATTAGGTTTTAATTTTTTAAATTGCAAATATTAAGGTTATAAGTATGTAACTTTTTAATTAAATTTTTAATATGTATGAGGAAAAATTAATTTAAACAAATATAATATGAGAGTTTACAAAATGTAAATGAAAAAATCAAAACTGTTAATATAGATTTATTTAACGAGACAAGAATTATCTCTTTAAACATTTGTCACAATGCATTCGTTTATTTTGTCAGAGTGCTCTTGTGATGAGACATTGTGAAAGAGTGATCAATGATATTCCATTATGTAAGACAAATCAGTATTCCAGTGATGTATGTGACAGATGTTCAATTCAAAAACTAGTCACGAAGCAAAGGCAAACAGAAATTTTCAATTGTTACTTCGTGTTCATCGTAAAATTCGTTTACCATCAAACAAGATGGGGTGACAGCAGAATGAAACAAATTTTCAATTTTCAAAAAACAAAGCTTGCTGTTGACTGTAGACATGAGACAGTTTCGATTCTACAATATATATTTGATAAGTAATGATAAAACTCTCGTACAGGGATAGAGATAAAACTGAGTCGAAAAGTCCTCTACCATTTTACAATTTTCGCAATAATTAATAAGATATTAAATTAATTATTACAATAGAATCAATTATTACATAGGGGACTTTTCTCCAATAACTCTGACCTTGATATATGTTGTCAAGGTCATGACCTCTAAGTTTTAGCTGTCGCTCGTTATTCGTTATTAACAGTCAGAATTAATAATTATTTTTCTGTTTTATATAAAAAGATAATTAGGCAGAGAGAGAGGTACGGAGTGAATCGATTAAGGAAATACTTTACTTTCTGTGAAGCGGGTTCCACCTCATCTCCTTTCCTGCCAAGAGGCATCCGACTTTCCAAGCGAAACAAGATCTACCTGAATAAAAACATATGCTTCTTGATGAGATGGAACTCGTTTCGTATGGAAAGTCGTAAAATATATTTTAAAGAAAATTTCTGTTTTATATAGAGATACCATTTTTCAAATTTGTTTGGTAATAACTTTTTAACGAATAACGATGGCTAAAACTTGTTGGAGATCACTCAAGGTCATGATCTCAACAACATATACCAAGGTCAAAGACATTGTCGATCATGTAAATAATTACTAATATTGATTACTAAAAATCACTGAATATTGGTTTTCAATAATTTTTACTCAAGGATTATTAACTTTGCAGAAAAATGCAGAAAAAGCAGATAACAAAAAATGTTCATTTTCTTCTCATAGAGTTCTCAGAATTTTTTCAGAATTTTTTTTAGTACCGCATTTTCTCATGTTGATAAAAGTAATTGCCAATAGGAAAATGCAGTACTAAAAAGTTAATAAAAATTCTGAAAAAACTTTTAGAGCTCTATGAGAAGAAAATAAACAATTTTTGTCTCTTGCTATTTTTCTGTAACACTTGAGTAAAAAATTATTGAAAATCAATATTCGATGATTTTTAGTAATTGATATCTTATTAACTATTGCGAAAATTGCAAAATGATATGACTTTTCGACTTAGTTTAATCCGCTCTATTTCTAGGTAAGAGTTTTTTTTCGTTATTTATTAAACATTCTGTATACACTCATATAATTTAGATAAATTAAGAAATATGAAGAAATCGTGGAAATTATAACGATGCAGCCACATATTTATTATTTCAATATAAAAAAATCCAAAATTATATATATAATAAAAAATTAAAAAATTTTAATATATAAGTTTTAATATAAGTTTTATAGTTTGTAATAGACAAGAAAATCGTACTTTCAGATGATAATATTAACTTTAAGCCAGAAAATATTTAATATTAAGTTAACATTTAAAAATTTTGAGAAAAAGCTGGAATTTTTATTTTAAATTCTTATTAAGAAAAGAAACATTAAATTAATTAAAATATTTGTGAAAGCGATACAATTTTTTTTAATAAATATATAAATATAGCTATATCTAAAATGGATTACATATTTACAGATATGTAATCTATTCTTTATATTTAAAATAAGTATACGTTTGATATTTAAGCAAAAACGAAAAGGAAAGATAAGTTTCGATTCATCAAAATAAATATCAAATCTCTTATCTTTATTGCGAAAATAATGCGTATCTAGATGGAATGTTATGATCATGATAAAAGAATTATTAAGTAACATTTCCATAAATGCGCAGTACAAAATAAATTGTGACTCAGAAATTGACTTCAAATTATATATTTAGTCATCATTATAACGATGTAACACATATTCTTACATCGTAGTTATGATCTTCACACAGTTTCTCAATCTCTGAGAAATCTTAAAATATTGTTTAACGAAGAAAATGCAACTATAAAAAACTTTTTTAAATTTTAATATTAATAAATAAATAATTAATATCATAAATTAATATTTAATATCATAAATTTTATTTATTAATATTAAAATAAAAAAAGAATCATAAGAAATGAATGATTGTAATTGTATAATGTATATTCTAATGTAATATAAAAAAATAAAAATTAATAAACATAACACAAATGTAAAATAATTTATTTTAACATTTATCATAATTTATAATTTTTTGTACAAAGAAATAGTTGTTATTGTAAATGTAATGACACAATGCAAAACTTTAATAGTGACTGTAGTTCCTAATGCTGCTTTTTTGCTGTGCAGTCTTGTTTATTTATATCATTCATAATTTGATCATGCTTTATGGAATTGTAACACTTTAACGCTTTCATAAAAAATAAAAAGTAAAAGTAATTTACATTTTTGTTTCTTTATTTGCGTTGTTGTCATTTTTTTTATTTTATAATATTGAGAAATGTGTGTATCCTACAGTTGTAATATTTATTATTTATAATTTCTTTTTTATAAATTTTATATAAAATTCATTGATATTTAAATTAAAAACATTTTTGTCAAATACGTTGTAGTTTCTTGTTAAACTCAATTCACTTAGATTTTACATACTTGTATAGTTATATTAATAATAAAATAATAATGTTCTCTATTAGAATTTATTTAAGATATTTATTTCTTAATAGAATATCTAAGAAAGAGAAAAAAAAGAATACTCCATAATAAATGCTAATAATTAAGAAGTAAAAAGTTGCGAAGCTCCTATTATATCTTAATGTAATATGTACGTCGTAAAAAAACAAGTCTTTGAGATATTATTTCACATTCAAAACATACATAAATCATAAATCAAGAGAAAGTATACGAAGGAAATTAATAATAATGGTTTTATTAATTATTCAATTTTATATCTATGTACTGGCAATACATGTTAAGCAACTGATTAAGAAAATGTTAAGGAAATGTAGTTTACGTTACATTAAATCGATTAATTAAATTTACATTGAATTGATTAATTATTGATAAGAGTTTAAATATGACTTATGCAAAAGTATACTCGCATTTATTTCATCCTCTATGACTTTAACGCGCATTCTTGTATTGTCTCAATTATTTATTTACTATTATACGGAATTCTACGGTATTGATCAATCGAATCGCAATAATGCAACCATGAATAGAACGTTTTCAATAACACCTCTCACAAAGAAAATTGAATTATTAGTCAACAATAAGCAACACAAACGTAGTATTTTTTGCTCTATCGAGGACGATTGTATGCGTATGTAGAGCGTACAGTAATTGCCTCAGAGCAATCTTCGTTGCGTCAAGATGTTAGTGCGATAACCTCGAGAACTGTATTAGACTAAATATTTTGTCATCTATTTATTCATAAATATCTTATTATTTTAACTTTGTAGATAAAAAATGTATTTCAATAAGAAACGAGAAGAAAATTTATGCATAACATTATCGATTAGAAATGTTTGAAAGATAAAAGTTTAAAACGTAGATAGATAACAAAAATTTACTTCGATTAATATCAAATTGACTTTATTTTGAGAAAACTTAAATTGAGAGTTGCTAAGGTAGATATCTAATATCAGAAGTAAAATAGTTGAACTACAATAGCGAATTTATTAAAATTTTATTATTAAATGTCAGTTCTATAGATTGGCATCTTTCATGTTGCATTTGAGAATTGATATTGATGATATCATTATAAAAAGTCACACGAGAGTAAAGTACAAATTTTTTTCATGTTTTTCTCAATAAAAGAAATATTACCTTCCTTGTATATATAGATGACCTAGAACATTTGCTAATGTGGATCTAATACATTATTATTGATCATTATCTGCACAAAGAAACACATACTTATAAATTAAAAAAATGATCTTCGCTTACGATATAAA